TATATATATATATATATATATATATATATATATATATATATATCAAAGCTTTATGTACGAAGTATATATATACATATAGTATAAATATATATTATTGTCATACATATATAATAATAAAGCTGCGGAGGCGTGGCATATCCACGTCAATCACAAAGGTCATGACCCCACTATGAAGGTCACGAGAGTGACGTGAGGGTCACGTATTTTACATACATATGTGCGGCCGCGGGGTAGCTAGATGTAAGAAACAATTATCACAATGCCTTGACAATACCAAGTGGGTATAAAATACTGAGGTTCAATAGGTTGGCGACATCTAAATGACCCGCGACGTCGAATCAGTTTCACAACTTTCCAATAATGAGGCAGAAAATAGAGCGCCACACCGCGTTGTATGCCCAATATCTTCCAAAATCAATAAAATTGTCTTAAACATTTATATTTAAAATAGAGATTAGATATTCCCAAGTGATCTGCTGCCAAATATATTGAATCATTTGAATCAGTCTTCTCACTAATGCTAAGGTGCCCTAGTCACCCGGCATCGCAGTCAGTTCCCCGCGAATGCAATAATTTATAGCGTTTTGTGCCGCTAGTCGGCGCTAGTGGCGCATTAAAATAGCAGTGTATGATGTCAAACTATAATTATGATTATTATCAAGCGCTAATAATACTTTAGTATTATTAGTATTATTAGCTCTTGTTATTATTTACTGAATTCATATATGTAAATTAGTGAGAGCAGATACATGAATAGTTTGATATGAAGAAAGCAAATACCAGAGCATCACTTTAATATTTATAACTGCTCAGCCTCGCTAACTTCCCTCTAGCCCCGTCTAGCGTGACATAGATAATAGCATTATAGGTTGCTCTGTGCACATGCCCAATATCTGATTAAAACAATAGTATTTTCTTAATCTTTCATATTCAAAATGGAAAGTAAATATTCTCAAGTAATTTGATAGCTCTTTACTAATGCTAAGGTGCCCTAGCTTCCCCCGGCAACCCAAGACTCCCCGCAGTCTAATGCTATAATTTATAGCTTTTTGTGCCGCTGGTCGGCGCTAGTGTTGCATATGAATAGCAGTGTAGCATCTCTCTCTCTCTCTCTCTCTCTCTCTCTCTCTCTTTCTCTCTCTCTCTCTCTCTCTCTCTCTCTCTCTCTCTCTCNTATATATATATATATATATATATATATATATATATATAGTGTGTGTGTGTGTGTGTGTGTGTGTGTGTGTGTGTGTGTGTGTGTGTGTGTGTGTGTGTGTGTGTGTGTGTGAAATTATACGTGTAAACTAGAGATGGAAGGGCAGATACGCGATTGGTTAGAGATGGAAAAGGACAATGCTAACGCGTCTCTTTAATAGTCGTAACTGTAAAATCTCGTCAGCTCCCTCTTCGCCATCCTTTTCATCTATCTCATCAAACTGTACAGCTGCTTGTACAACACCCCGCTCTACCCACCCAGCCACCCACCCACCCTGCCGGCCTACCCACCCAGACACCCCCCCTACCTTCACAGCCACTCACCCACCCCGCCGGCCTACCCACCCAGCCACCCACCCACCCTGCCGGCCTACCCACCCAGACACCTCCCCACCCTACCCTCCCAGCCACTCACCCACCCCGCCGGCCTACCCATCCAGACACCCACCCAACCCCCGACCCCCCTTCTCCCCTCCCCCTCCCCCTCATCCCCTTCCTCCGGCACTTACCGGATCAGCTGACGGCGTGTCATATTGAACCCAGTCAGGAAACCACCAAAGTATCCCGGAATGCCGACCTTGTGAGCGAGGATGTCGCGTAGACTCGTCTGCTGGGTGCGCATGTCGTCACACAGTTCAAACTCCTCGCCCAGGATGTGCCGCACGGGCGTGTCCCACGTTAGATTCCGCCTGCAGCGGCAGATACGTTGCCATGGTTACCCCACGCGCGCGCGAACGGTGAGCGAGCGGACGCGTGCGTGAACGACACACGTCAAGATCACGTCAAGGTCACGTCAAGGTCACGTCACGGTCACGTCACGGTCACGTCACGGTAACGTCACGGTAACGTCACGGTAACGTCACGGTAACGTCACGGTAACGTCACGGTCACGTCAAGGTCACGTCAAGGTCTCGTCAAGATCACGTTACGGTAACGTACGGTAGAGTAAACTAGACAAAATAAACGAAAAAAGTAACACGCGCAAAAGAGAGAGGGAGAGAGAGAGCGCGCGAGAGAGAGAGAGGGAGAGAGAGAGCACGCGCGAGAGAGAGAGAGACAGGAGAGAGCGCGCGCGAACGGGAGAGTGAGAGAGAGAGGAGAGAGCGTGCTGAGAGACATGCAATTAACGCGAGGCATTTAACGAACAACGTGTTTGCAATGTGCTTCTAATTGAAATGCTTTCATCTTCGCTCAAACGATAAATAATACGAACGCCCGCGCGCGCGCAAAAACCGTGACGTCACGCGATAATTAAACATGGCGGCGCTCGCGCGGGGTCCGCCGTGACATTTAAAGCGCTTAATTAGTTTGATGGATTCATCGGAGCCGATTTTAGTGACTCCTTCACCGCCTCTTTATAAATTGGCCGGCAGTGCGCACGCCCGACTGCATCGTGACATCGCTTCGTTAAAGCCACATGGGAAAATCCTGCCGCCTATACTTCCCATCACTCGGCTGAGAGCTTAGCGCTCACAGACGACAATTTCTTTACTGTAGGCGTAAAATTTTAATCGTGACGTACACACGTTCTAAATGCGCGTAGCCAACCATAGCTAACCGCGCGTGTCACAATGCACACGTCACAATGCACACGTCACAATGCTCGCGTCACAATGCACACGTCACAATGCACACGTCACAATGCTCACGTCACAATGCACACGTCACAATGCACACGTCACAATGCACACGTCACAATGCCACACGTCACAATGCGCACGTTCACAATGCTCACGTCACAATGCACACAGTCACAATGGTACACGTACAATGCACACGTCCAACGATACACGTCGACAATGCCACACAGTCACACGATACACGTCACATGCACACTATCACCAATGTACCACGTCACCAATGCACACGTCACAATGCACACGTCAAAATGCAAACGTCACAATGGCTACCTCAGAGTGTCGCATCCTCGTATGATTTAATCCTATTAAGACTAGCACAGACTTGCGACTTTCGGTTTGCTCGGTTACTGCAAACTAGTCAACGCATGCGAATCGGTCACATGCTTTCCACCGTTTGTGTGCCGCATGCAATGCATTTGTCGAAGCGATCTTCGATAGCGATTGGAGCGACGAGTTGCTTGAATTCAATAATCAGTGTTGATTTCTATTGCCAACTCGTTGCCCAACGCGACCAGAATTCGTTACGAGTTGCCATTGCACAGTTCACGCAGACACTGGCGATTTCGCAGAAATTTCAACTGCGATTCTAGAATCGCCCCAGTCGAGTTGCTTATGAAAAAAGTCAGACACAGTTCTGTGCTAGGCTTAAAATTTAATCCGGACTGGTGTGGTAGCGAAAACGAACTCAGCCGCCAGCGCAGCGTTATACATGATTGATTATCGAGGCCCCGGGTTTATTAAGGCCGCACTTATCGCATATTATCTGCTTGCTCTGATACAATACTGAAGCTTTGTGATTCACCGCTCCGCACGTACAATCCTAATTTAGATCAAACAGAAGCTCTGACTGATGAAACATCGTGACTTAATTTGCTGATAGGTTTACTCTGCCTTTCACACGTACAACCACTGCAGGCCCACCAAAGAGAGAAAGAGAGACGAAGAGAAAAGACACTGAGGAGAGCAAAGACCAGAGAGAGAGAGCGGAGAGAGAGAGAGAGAGGGACGAGGAGAGAGAGAGAGAGAGAGAGAGAGGAGATGAGAGAGAGGTGATGAGCAGAGAGAGAGAGAGCGAGGAGACAGAGAGCAGAGAGAGAGAGTAGATGAGACGAGAGAGCAGAGAGAGGAGAGATGAAAGGACGGTGAGCAAGCAATATGTAACGTTTACCTCGGTGCCAACATTCTTACCTGCCTGTCCAACATTTACTGATGCCCGTTAATTATTTAACCTGTGTACGCACCATTCTATCTTATGTCCAAACATTTACCTATGTCCCAACAATTTACCTATATTTACATTTACCTGTGGCTACCATTTACCTAGTGTCCAACATTTTTACCTATGTCCAACAGTTTACCTATATTAACATTTTTAACCCTATATTTAAACATTCCAACCTGTGGCTACCATTCTAACTACTGTCCAACATTTAACCTATATCTTAACATTGTACCGTACTATTTAACATTTACCTGATGTCCAAACATTTAACTATATTTAACACTTTACCTATGTCCAACATTTACCTGTGGTGTTAATAATTACCTATTTGTCCACATTTTCCTGGGGTAATGATTTATCCTGTGTTACAGGTGCTACTAAGAAATGCCATAACACTATACGCTGAATAAGCTCATGCAACACCGTGCCTGTGTAACACTAACTTACTACGTTATACTTATATAGCTGCCGGTTCCAGGGTTAACACCACATCAAGATTCTAATAATATTATTCAAAGAGCCTAATCAATACCTTATAATAGGAGCCTATAGAGAGCTATAGCAGGCCTATTATTAGCCTCTTCGATATTGATTTATAAAACACCGGCTGGTTGCTAACACTTGCTTTAGTCTGCCCAGTAGCATCGCGGCCCTTACGGCCTAACATAAACACGTGTGTGTGTGATGTGTGGTGTGTGGTTGGTGGTCTTGTGCCTCCGCTGCGCCTGTGGTTGTGTGTGTGTGTGTGTGTTTCGTGTGTGTGTGTGTGTGGCGCTATGTGTGTGTGTGTGTGTGTGTGTGTGTTGTGGTGTGTGCCTGGCGGTTGTGCTGGGTGTGCTGCTGTTGTGTGTGTCGTGGTATCGTGCTCTGCGTGTATGTGTGTGTGTGGTATTATGTGTGCTGTGTGTGTGTGCTGCTGCCGCCTGTGTGTTGTGTTGTGCGTGCTTGTGTGTGTATGCTGGCTGTTGTCGGTTCGTCGCGCGTGCGCGTGTGTTGCTGGGCTGTGCCTGTTCGTAGGTGCGCCGCGCTCGCTCGCTCGTGTGTGTTTCTGTGTGTCTGTGTGTATCGTGATAGTGTGTATAGTGTGCTCCCTGCCGGCCGCCCCAGCCTGTGTGTATATGTGTGTATGTGCTGCGTGTGGCGCTGCTTCGTGCCGTACGTGCGTGCGTACGTGCGTCGTATGCGTGCGTGCGCTACGTGCGCGCTCACGTGCGTCGTGCGTGTGCGTGCGTGCGTGCCGTCGACCGTGCGTGTGCGCGTGCGTGCGTGCGTACGTGTGTCCGTTGCCTGCCGTGCGTTTGCGTAGCGTATCGTGTCCGTGTGCGTCGGGCTGTGTGGCGTGGCAGTGCGTGCGTGATGGTGTGGCGCGTGCGCTGCGTGCGTACGTGTGTGCGGTGCCTGCGTGCGCTTCGGCGTGTAGCGGTGCGTGCAGTGCGTGCGTGCGTCTTGTGGTTCCAGTGTGCGCGTGCGTGCGTCCTCGTACGTCGTCGTGCGTGCGCTGCGTGCGTGCGTGCGTACGTACGTGCGTGCATGCTGGTGCGTGCGTGCGTAAGTGCGTGCGTGCGTTGCGTCGCGTGTATGCGTGCGTGCGTACGTCGCGTGTGCGTCTGTGTAGTTGCGTGCGGTACGTTGCGTGCGCTGCGTTACTGTGTGCGTGCCGTCGACGCGTCCCGTGCGCAGTGCGTCAGGCATTCTCACACTTACTGTTGTCGGGTGAGGTTAGGCACCGGCCGAGCATGCGTCGACGCTTAAAAAGCCTCGTCAGTAGATCGATGCAGAAGATGGTCGGCATGACGTGAACCTCCGCCGACGTCGCCATGTCTGACCCGATAACCCGTCTGAAGACGACGCGGTCGTCCTGCGGACGACGCTTACCGCCAACCCGGGAGTAGCGTGTCGGCCACGCCAATGTTGCACGTCGCCGATGAAGGCGTCGATGTCGCGCGCGTCGTCGCCGCGAGTGTCGCCACCGGTTCGCCGCCGACGTTGAAGCAGCCGACGACAGCGCACGACGACGATGACGATGAGCATGCCTTGCGGGACGTCGGCGCGTCCAGTGTCGCTCTCGTCCCGCGCTTCGGCCGGCTGGCGTCAGCCGTGCAGCCGTTAACATCGGTCGTCAGTGCTCCAGGCATCGACAATGCTGTGCGTGCCAGTTGCGTGTCGTGCGTAGCGTGCACGTGCCGCATGCGTGCGTGCGTCGCGTCATCGTTGCGGCGCCAGGCGTGTATGCGTGCAGCCGTCGTGCGTGGCGTGTGTGTTTCCGCTGTGTATGCGTGTGTGTGGGATAGTCGTGTGTGTGCTGGGTTGCATGTGTGTGTGTGTGTGTGTGTGTGTGCGCGCGTGTGTGTATGTAACTGCGACGTGTATGTATGCGCGTGCGTGCGTGTTTATATGCGCGTGTGTGCGCGCGCGTGCACGTCTAGCTGGCTGTATACGCGTGCGTGCGTGTCTATGCGTGCGTGCGTGCGCGCGTGTGTGTACGTGCTCGCGGATGGACGCGATCTCACAAACGTCTGCCCTGTAGCGCAGCAGCCGTCCGACTACCGCTGCATCCCTCTCTCCCCCTCTCCCCCTCTCCCCCTCTCCCCCTCTCCCCCTCTCCCCCTCTCTCCGCGCGCGCACACGCACAGCGCTGGCAAACTCTGCTGCTAGCTGTCCTCTGCATCCCCGCCGCTCTCCTAGCGTGCCGCCACCGCACGTCCGCGCGGCGTCGCCGCTCAGGCGAGTGACACTTATTATCGTATTGCACGTGTTAACGAGGCACTTGCGGAAGCCACTTACAGGATCGCGAGAGACAGGAGGGAAGTGGGAGGGAGATAGGAGGGGAGGGGGAGGGAGATGGCGAGGAAGCGGTGGATGGATAGCGGGAGAGGAAGAAAGATGGAGAGGGAGAAAGGGAGGGGTGGGAGAGGGATGGAGAGGAAGAGGAGAGGGAGAGGGGAGGGAGAAGGAGGGAGGTCGTGAGAAAGAGGGGGAGGGACGGTGGTAGAGGAAGGGAAGAGGGGAGGGAGATGGGAGGGGAGATGGGAGAGACAATGGGAGAGGAAGGGAGGGGAAGATCGAGGGGAGAGTAAGGGAGAGGGAGAGGGAGAGGAAGGAAGGAGGGAGGGAGAGGAAGGGAGAGAGGGAGAGAGGGACAGAAGGGGAGGAAGGGGAAGGTAGAGGGAGGGATATGGAGAGGGAGAAGGAGAGGGAGAAGGAGGCGAGTAGTTGAGGAAAGCAGCACACGACACAGCAGCCCTCATGCACACACGACACGACACACACGACACGATTTACACTCAACAATCATCCAGCACACAGCACGCACACACATACGACACACGACTTAACATGCGACCACAGGGCATCAGTCACACACGCACACACACGACGACACACACATGCACGACAGCCATACGACACAGCACACACACACACACACAGCTACCACACGACACAGGATGACACACACACAAGTCTGTACACGACACACAGCCACACCACACACGAACAACAACACACATTACACCACACCACTAACACACACCACACACACACGACACCGCGACACACACACACACAACACACCCACACACCACCACCCACACACACACACACAACACACACACACACACACACACACACACACACACACACACACACACACACACACAATCTTAACCTCTTCCCTTTCTCCTTTTCGNAGAGAGAGAGAGAGAGAGAGAGAGAGAGAGAGAGAGAGAGAGAGAGAGGGAGAGAGAAAGAGTGAGCAACATATGTAACGTTTACCTGTGCCCAACATTTACCTGTGTCCAACATTTACCTATGGTTAATATTTACCTGTGTCCAACATTTATCTATGTCCAACATTTACCTATGTCCAACATTTACCTATATTTAACATTTACCTGTGGCTACCATTTACCTATGTCCAACATTTACCTATGTCCAACATTTACCTATATTTAACATTTACCTATATTTAACATTCACCTGTGGCTACCATTTACCTATGTCCAACATTTACCTATATTTAACATTTACCTATATTTAACATTTACCTATGTCCAACATTTAACTATATTTAACATTTACCTATGTCCAACATTTACCTGTGGTTAATAATTACCTATATCCAACATTTACCTGTGGTTAATAATTACCTATGTCCAACATTTACCTATGGTTAACATTTACTTGTATTTAACATTTACCTGTGGTTAATAATTACCTATGTCCAACATTTACCTATGGTTAACATTTACTTGTATTTAACATTTACCTGTGGTTAATAATTACCTATGTCCAACATTTACCTATACTTAACATTTACTTGTATTTAACATTTACCTGTGGTTAATAATTACCTATGTCCAACATTTTCCTGTGGGTAATATTTATCTGTGTTACAGTGTACTTAAGAAATGCATACATATAACGTGCATAAGCTCATGAACACGTGCCTGTGTAACACTAACTTACTAGTTATATAGCTGGGTTCAGGGTCTAACACCACATCAGATTCTAATAATATTATCAAGAGCTAATAATACCTTTATAGAGCTATAGAGGTATAGAGGTATTATTAGCTCTTGATAA